GCCATGGTTTTTCTGTAAAACGTAGCTTTTAGGGGTGGGGTAGCATATATATATATCTCTCTCTCTCTCTCTCTCTTTGTATATCATGCACGTATATAAGTATATTATAGAGAGTTGCATAGGGACATGTTGCGAAAGTCCTTTATTTGTGCATGTATAAACTCGTAGCTTGTTCGTAGCTTGGGCCCTTGAGCGCTTCTGATGGCACCCATGGAGAGCAATTCCTGGGAGCAGCCCTGCTGCTATCAAACTTTCCAGAGGTCTAGATGGAAGATTTCGCACCCAAAACGCGCTAATTACTGTCTGACATCAAACATCCCGTGGCTCCCTTGCTGTCTAAACCTGAGTACCTGACATTGACACCGCTTTGAATTGCACTGAGGAAGCTCAAGGGATCAAAGCCTACGTACAAGTAACATCCACTGCGGAGCCTCAAGTCTAAAAATGGTACCTACCTTGCGATATTTAATGGGAAAACACTGAGGAGAGTGCCGTAGCCCCCGTAGCCGCCTTTACCGCCGCCTCCGCCGTAGCCTACGCTTGGATTCACATGCGGTTTGGATTTGCAACAATTAGGGTTCCCCTTGTGGGAGTCTCCATAATAAGGATCATGGTGTTCTTAGGTCTATAATTACGTGGAGGCCCCTGTTTCCGCAACTTGCAAATCTAAAAAATCAGCTTCCAGGATGTACAGTAAAGAGCTTGGTTGTTTCAGGGTTGTTTGGACATTTTTGGCGTGGCTCTTACTGCACCGGAACCAGGCAAGTAACCAACAAGAAGAACGAGAAGAAGGAAACGCGGAGCTGCCGGCAGGGAATGGGCCGGTGGCGCGTTGATTCTGTTGATTTAGGGCTCAGGCCTCGAGAGCTCAGAGTCAACCGCTCAAAGATGTGCGAAAACACAACTTGAAACTGGAGGTACGTAAGCAACCTTCCCCGCAAGACTTCAAGTGACAAGTCCTCCACAATTAAAAGGCTGGCTAGCTGCTGTGCTCAGGACTGAATCCAGAACTGCGTGCAAAACCTAAGTTGTCCTTGCACGCCGATATGCAGCCAAAGCCTTTTTGGGAAATCCTGCGGCACTTCCTGAACATGACATCCTCAACCGGGTAGGGCTCAGGTTTACGTCAACAGGTAATGCTCGTGAGAGCAATTGGGACAACCAACCCAAATCATGCACTTGCTTTCTTTGGCGTTATCGGCCATGGTCAAAACTGGGTGTGCGCTTGGCGTGATCAGGAATGTTAGCTGTCAGCGCAGGTTGGTGGATAAGCCCACATCTGCTGTACAAACAAATTGTTGGCACTCTTCCCCGACGAAGAGGGAAGCTTTAGCGACATTCCTGCCTTGTAAAACTTGCATTGAACATACTTTGACCAATTCCGACAGTACTCTTGCTGAGTAAGCTCCACTGCGCCTGCAATCCAGGGGGTTCTTGGGGCAGCTTAGCCCAGCAGAACTATCACTATTGCCATTTGGAAGTGTCAAGTACAACTTGCGCTAGTCTAGAGAAGAGAGGTTCTGACGAAGGGGCATCAACAACTAGAGTAGGGTTTGCGAGGTGCACAAACTTCCCTTGCAGAACTACTGACGGAATAGAATTCCGAACCCTAAACCCTCTAAACCCTATGGAATTCCAAGCTCTTCAGCTTTCTGGGTTAGCCCCTAAAACCATTTGAAAAATACTAGTATCTAGGGTCCCTTATTAAAGCCATTAGGGAAAACATTAAACATCCCAGGGGCCTACCGGTTGACCTTTAGAGACCCTTGAAAAATGTTAGTATAAGTGGGCTCCTATGAAGCCAATAAGGGAAAATATTAAATATCCCAGGGGCCTACCTAGCTTTCCACAGTCTTTCAGCTCAAGCTCCTGCCTCCTCCGTAGCCTCCCATCATGCCCATGCCCATGCCGCCGCCGTACTTACCTCCCCCTGGCCATCATCCCAACAAGGTTGAGGATTTATGGTTTGGGATTTATGGTTTAGGATTTATGGTTTAGGATTTAGGATTTATGGTTTGGGATTTATGGTGTGGGATGTATGCTTTAGGGCTTATGCTTTAGAGTTGATGGCCTTTTTTCAGGGTTTCGAATTTAAGGACCTTATCCAAACAAGGTGGAGGGACGAGGGTATTGCGGAGGCCGGAATAATTACCAGCATCATCTTGAGGTCTATTTGGTAGGTTGTCAAAATTATGGTCCCTTTTTATACCCTAAATATTAGGTGCCATATTATAATAGGGACCCAAAAAGGGACCATAATTTTGACAACCACCCATTTGACGTAGCGTATACCATGATCATTATGTAAGGGATCTAGGACCATGATCTTGGTGCTCATTTTGCTAGCTTCCATAAAGTAAGGGGATCCTAGTATAGACCGCCCAAAATACTCTTATCCTTATTCTGGGCGCCCCTGATCAGGTACTCATAATTTTGGGAAACCCCTCTCCAGGCTTCTACAGAGGATGGGAGCATGCTCCCGAACCATAAGCCTTTCACCCGTCCAGCCTGCGCGCAAAATCCTTAACCTGGGGCTCGGGCTCTAGCAATAACACCTCCATTGGCCTCTAAAGCGGGTTTAGGGTTTAGGGGTTCAGGGTTACCATAAAAAGGTACCTACGTTGCCCTGTTCGGAGCCTTGCAAGTGTTAAGCCTGATCATCAATCATGACCATCATCCATCAGTCCGAAACCTTAAACACTAAAACCCTGAACACTAAAATTGGTGGTCAAGAGCTAAAGGACACACGGTTTAGGGCTTTTTGGACTTGAGCCTGTTGGAACCTAAGTGCTGGCCAAAAAATTCGCGCGCCAGTGTGGGGTTGATCTAGATCCTTTAAGGAAATTACTATTTAGTGGCCCCCGAAGGTCTTTAAAGAATAATTTGCCGAAATGGATTTTCCCTAGTGGCCAGTTCGGAAACAGGAATGTTGACCAACTACCACGTAACGATTTGGACATGAGACTCAGCTATTCAGCATGAAGCGTTCGATCAGCAAGCGGATACCAAACAGTGAGTGTTGGAGCTTTCACATTGAGGATAGGGTTGGGGGTGGTAGGAATAGAGTACACACTGACACCTACAGCCTGTGTTCAGTGTTTTGATTTGGGGGTTAAGGGGTTGACTGTCTTTCACTTTGGGCCGTCGATGTTTCCTCTTGTGGTCTTGGATTTAGGGCCTTGGGGTTATGGCAAATCCGAGACACAGCCAATGCTGGTCCCGATGCCTGAGCCAGGGAGTCAACACCAAGTCCTCCCAAAACCCTAATACTCCCATGCATAACGACGTTGTTCTGCACCAGAGTGGGGGTAGCTCACAAAGAAATGCCGCAAAAGGACCTCAATAAAAGTAACAGTGGCTCTGGCGTTCTTGTTTGTGTGTTTGTGGGAAGAGCCTTAGCTAGCATCAGCACAGGAGTGCCTGCCTTCGCTCCTGTCAACAACTCATGCTCAAGCTGATCGCAGACATTGCGCGAACTCTCCTTCTCCACGTGTGGACTAGCAGCAGGATTCAGTCTGAACAGTCAAACTCACGACCTAAGGGCGAGTGGGGCAGGGAGTATTAGAGGGGGCTGAACACGGAGATTGAGGGGATCAAGGGAACCACTTCCCAGCTCTTTCAATAGGCACAGCTGAACCCAGCAATTCAAGCCTAAAAGGCCTGGAAAGGCCCCTGACCACATCCAACCAGCAGGGCCCACAACAAGTTCACCCTAAACCTGAAACCATGCCGTGCAGCTTTGGGACGGAAAGCCCTAACCGCCCATGTCTCCATACTAGTTCATGTCTAGGGCATTACAGGGCAAGTACCTCATGTAAGCCTTTCATAACATTGCACCCCCGGAAAGGGTTTGTTTTCCCCTCCCTTTCCCGTTAGGGTGTCCAAACTCTCGACTGGCTGATGGGACCTGACACGTGCAAGAACCACAGGGTGGGACAGGTAGCCAAGCATGGATCGTAAGTTGCAATGAAATCTACAAGTCGATGACCGGCTATATTCGTAAGCCTGATTCCGGTAAACCTCCTGCTCGCAAATCAATCTTTAAGCCAACAACCAGCATCTCTAAACCCTACTAGAACCCTAAACCTCATGCTCTAGACCCCCTGAACTCGCACCCTAAACCCCTCCAACCCCGCACAGGAGTTTCTTAAACTATGTGTATATACATATATATATATATGTATATGACTCTGAAAGGGACCCTCATAATTCAATTCTTTTAACCCCTGGATATCCCTAAGGTCCCTAAGGACACTCCCATGCCCCGAAACTCCCATCTCCTACTAGAGGCCAGGCCTTTTCCGAAGCCACCGCCTCCCTTGACTGGCGGAACTCCTAGCAGCATGGAAAGGCAAATTACCGTGAAAAAATGGACAATGAAATGAAGAAGAGGGCGTTTGAGTAGTGGATATATAGACAACATGGTGCTTAGTAGGGGCTGGGGGATGGAAAAAATCATGGAGGAAACTACTCTATTACCTCTTAGGATTTAGGGTAGGTTTGTGGCTCTAGGGTGCTAAGTACAGAAAGTGGAATGCTATGGTTTGAGGGCTTGGAGTTTAGGGTACTGCCTGGAAAGTACGATATTTGATGTGCTGTCTCAGCTTAAAAATATGGCGCTTGAGATGCTTAGTAATCAGTCAGCGGGAGTGGCTTGGAGGAGTTATTATTAGGGCTCATATGGGGACTACTAAACGAATCCATTCCCTCCCTGCCTACAGTGCTGCTAGAAGAACAGTCAAATGGGTGATAGTAGGGTTTGGGTCTGGGGCTCGGCATTTGGATCAGCTGCCCCTGCCAACTAGTACTTGGGAGTGCAGGAGTGGAGAGTGAGAGAGAGAGAGAGAGAGAGACAGAGACAGAGACAGAGACAGAGACAGAGAGAGAGAGACAGAAAGAGAGAGAGCCAGACAGAGAGAAAGACAGAGAGAAAGACAGAGAGGGAGAGAGAGAGAGAGATATATATGTATATATATGTATACAGAAGACATATGCAGCCCCCCAAGGATCCCAAATTTTGAGGCACCCTAGTGAAGGGTCACATATGGAGTGCAGGGTATTGTGTAGTGCTTCGGGCTTAAGAGGCCGCAACTTTTCTTGCGAGAGCATTAAAAGTCACAGGGGTCGCCCTTTGAAAATCTGAGCCCAGCCCAGATTGCAGATTCTCCTAAAACCGTCTCCATGAGAAGCTAGACAAACTCTGCAAAACCCTATACTCAACTTGAAGGAACCCTAGGCCCAAACTCCAGAAACCTGCATAGCCTGCACAAGCCTATAAATCCCCAAACCCCTGACCCAAAAACTGAGTGCCCAGAAGTTTCTCGCGTACCCCGTCGAGCCTTTGCTGCCCTCTTTGGTTGCCTTAAGCAGGACATGGAGAATAGCACGAATAATAGGTACTCACTGTGTTCATAGTACTAAGAATGCTACGAGTAACACTACGAACTCAAATCTACGAACTCAAATGCAAGTCAATTTTTCCGTACTCTTGCCTGCCCCGGAACTCCAACAAACATCATGATTCTGGAAACGAATTGGGAGCATCAAAAAAGACGTAAAGCTTGAAAGTACCGCCGGGACGTCGCGAGAACAACGTTCTCCTGACCACAAACCCGCCTAAACCCTAAACCCTAAACCCTAAACCCAAAACCCTAATAGTGTTGAAAAGCCGGAAACTGTCTGCAGGTGGAAGCCGCGCCTTAACAGGCCTCATAACTTTGTGTCTTGAGCCGTGGGAAAATGTATGTCTTGTCTCGTGGGAAAATGTAATAACATAGGTCCTACATAAGGCGGTGGAATAGGTCGTTTTCCAAATGATACCTCTGCAATTCTCAAGCTCGCCAGTGCTATAAGCCTCTCATGATCCCCACACTCTAAATTACCATTTGAGCTACAGTCAACATTACCCAGATAATCAATGGACACGGCTTCCTTACTAGGGATTCTCTTGGGGACTATACTAAACTATTAATTCAGCGTCCCATAATAATAAATGAGCCTGATACTGACAGTAGCTCAAAGAAACTCCTAGGGTTTAGGGTTTAGGGGAAGCCGTTAAATTCAAAGCAAGCGGGTCGAAAAGCTTTGTCAGGAGTTATGACAATGAAGCGTTTAACTGATGGTCATACCGTCTGTATTTCGAGGGTTGGACTACCCAAATTAAGGTACAAGTTACGTGGATCCCCCACCCTGTAATAGTGACTGCAAGGGATAATGGTGATTATATAAGGCTCCTCTTATATTCCTACTATACCACTATTACAGGGTGGGGGGTCCACCCAAGGTAGAGGTTATGTCACGGCTGATGTAGGGAAAGTGGAGGCCTCGACCTGTCCAACCAACCCTGCCTGAACCCTACACCTAGCTGCTGAGATCTTGCGTCAACCTCTTCCTTACGATGGAGCCAGCACTTTCCTGTTCCTCAGTAATCATATGAGTCATAATCTAAACTCCTTAAAGGGGGGTTATATAGGGGATTATATATGGGACTACTATAGGGGTTATTGAGGGGGATACTAGGAGTTTAGACTATAGCTGATATCTTAATCTGGCTACACATTTGTGACTTTCCCTCTGCCCAGTGTTGCTGTCAACTTGCAAGACGCACAATGTAAACCCTAAACCCTAAACCCTAAGCCCTAAACCCTAAACCCTAAGCACTAAACCCTAAGGGACGACTGGAAAGCGAAGTTGGGCCAATCCCCACACAAGAGGTGAACCATGAGCCTTTGGGCTTCGATCTCCAGAAACCCGGGATGAAACAGCTCCTTTTAAGGGCCTTATAGGGGTAATATAGTAATATATAGGAATTATATAGGGATACTGGCAACGAGAATGGAAACTACTGTTTTTGGTTTAGGGTTAACTATACTAGCAATGCTAACGGCAGAAGCAAGAAGATTGATTACTACGGGCGCTGCTGCTGCTGCAAGTAGCAATACGGCTAATAGAAGTAGTAGTCAGTAGTCGTTGTCGTACTGGTAGCAACAGAACAGCAGCTATTACTCCTTCTGCTCCTCCTCCTCATGCTGCTGCTCCTGCTCCTGCTACTACTTCTACTGCTCCTCTCTTCCTCTTCCTCCTCCTCTCTTCACGTCCACTACTCTTACCCTTCCGCATGTGCAGACTATCGCATTGCTGCTGCTGCTGCTTACCATGGCTTAGACCTACAGCCTAGGTATGAACTCAGGACTCCTCACTTCAAAGGGTTCAGACACCTTGAAGCCTCCGTTTCGCCACTAAGCTTGGCATGAAACTCAACTCTTCTCAACCCTTAACCTCGCTTGCTGCGGATCAGGAACGCGTTTGCAATCAACCCACTTGCCCCCAATCTGGTGCTCCCCATGCTGAGCCTGGGCCACGACTTGACACAGGTTAGGGTTTGGGGGGCTATCAGGTTTAGGGTTTAGGGGTTAAGGATTAGGGTTACATGAAAACGAAAAAATTAAATGAAAATTGGGTTGCTGCAGGAAAGTATAGAAATTGAATGCAGGGGCCTAAACTATGAGACTAGTTTCCTGAGGTAATGCTCTTCCATAAGTATAGAAGGATTCTGGAGATTTGGCTTCTACATTCCTCGCCGTGAACATAGATATATAATGTGTGAAGATTTGCAAGAATAGGGGCCTCCCCATATACCCTGTGAGTACAACAATCACTCTTGCAGGAACAAAGCGGGCCCCTAGTTTGTGAAACTCACAGATGCAGCTTCGTTTCGAAAGGACAGCAGTCTACAGGGGCATGTTTCAAGTTTGAAGCTTCTTTGGGTTTGGGGTTTAGAATTCACGGTTTCAAGTTCCAAGCTTTTCTGCGCCTGAGGTGGGAAACGCTTCGAATCATCATTCATGTGCTCCTTGCTGAGTCACAAGAGCAAACCTTGGATGCAAACGCGGCCTGACTGTAAATTTGCAAAGCCTGACTTTAAACATGCGAGAGGAAAATCAGAAACTGCATCATTGTTTCTGATCTCCATGCAATTCAGTGACATTGAAGGATGTGTGAAAGCAAATGCTCAACGTGTACTGGATCTTTGCTGAAAAATGTTACCACACACATGCTTTACACTACTCATTGGTCTTTGTGTAAGGCCAACAACAACCAATAACTATGTCTAGCAAATATCCAGTACAGCAGGTCTGCTGCGGTGCTCGCGGGATCACCAACACTTCTCGGGGGCCCTTCTCACATTCCAATATGAACTGCCTGCTTCCTTCTTATGCAAAAGAGTGCATTCAAGTAGCGGCGTGTAAGTTCAATAATGGAATACGGTTCAATGGCCCCTTTGCACAAGGCCTCCAAAATCCGAAGGAACTCTCCTTTGCTAAAGGCGTGTCATGTTGTTTTTTTTATAATGTTAATATCTTTGGGTTTTTAGGGATGAAGCTGGTCTTGGGGGCTTCCGACGCGATGCGCAACAAGAAAACGAACAAAACAACATCTGAAGTTTGTAGCTACCTGGACCCCCAAAGTATGTAGAATAATGGCCTTTTGGGCTATATTTAGGGGATGTGGGCCATTATTTTACCTACTTTGGGGGTTTAGGTATACAGGTTTGTACCCATGACTCGAGGTGTGCACCCTGTCCACTCCCAGACAACATTGGAGGCTGAGAGTTTTGAAGCCCAAGCACCCTATACAGAGTCCAAATGCCTAGACATAGGAGATACATAGACACCAGTTAAGAACAGTTAAAACCCTCAACCCTTAAAATGTAGTTCCCCATAAGCCCCAGTGTCCATGTCATGTTCCACTTGCTTTTCCATTTGATTCTCCATTATTCAAGTAGGGTTACCTGGGGGTGGGGCCCTGGAAAACCCGGAGCTCAAAAAGTATAGTAGCGTCCATCTTCTCAAAAACCGCAGCATCCCTATGTAGTGTAGCTCTGTACTAGATACCCCAATGTACCCCTAAGCCCTGAACCCTACACTCAAAGCCCTAAGCCCTAAACTCTAAGCCATAAACCCTAAACTCTAAGCCCTATAAACCCTAAACAACAACGCTGCACCTTCCACCCGAGGGGCCAGGACCAACTCAACGGAGTCATCGCTCTCCTCTTTGTGAGTACTGTGAGGAACCCTAGGGATCCAAATAACCCAACGCAGGTTTCAAGACCTTAGGCTCAAGGTAGCCCTTACCAAAACACTTTAGGGCCCCAAAGTAGCCATATATATATATATAAGAAAAAACTTTAGGGCTCCAAACTAAGATTTATGATCGACTTTAGGGCCCAGAGCTGGTTATCCTTTCCTGACTTCAGGGCCCAAGTGGGTATTTTGTTGGTCCTTAGGGTGTAGGGCTCCCTTAGAGGCTTAAGGTTTTGGGTTGGAGAGTTCAAGCTTTAGTTAGGCGTCTCATGTCCTTGGCAGAAGGTACTGGTGGATGGTGTAAGGTTTACTGGGTTGCTGTTAGGGAACTAAATCTAAGTCACTATTCTATGAGTCTATTGCAACAAATGGGGTTTCCTTATCATAGTAAATAAAGAAAAGGTGTCTCTAGGGTTTGGGACTTTAGGGCTTAGAAGTGAATTGTAGTTGGAGGGGCTATTGGGCGGCGAGCGAGTTGTTTGGACCAAACCCTCCATGGGCCAAGACCTATGCAGAGAACATCCCAAATATCCATAATTTACGAATTTCCTTCAACCACAGCTAAAAATCAGCATAGCGGCCATTCAAAAAAATAAGGGGCCCATCCCAAATCGCGAACTAGAGTTTTGGGTTTACAATAGGGCACACACTAAGTACCACAGCTGACAAACTTGAAGGACGAGAGCTTCATGCTACAAAGAAATGGCTTGCAAGAACTTCCAGCGCCCCTGCCCGAGCCCTGACCCTAATCCCGGGTTTGGGGTTCAAAGTGAAAGACCATTTTTTCTCAAGTCGGTATACATGGGGGTCAAACTGCCTGGACCACAGATGCCCTACCACTTTTCACTGGGACTCAACTCCAAGAAGGATGGATTCAGAGCCCAGGTAGCCCTTTTCATTTTAAATTGGGTCCAGGGTTTAGGGCTTGGGCTTTTGGGTGTTTAATCTCATATATTTTCCCCCCATTGAACCCCAAGCGAGGGCCCCCAAGCAAGTAATAACAGGAGTATTTTCTCCCAACACGCTTGCTGCAACCACTGCTGCACGATCCCAGACAACGACTTCCTGGGTACTAAAAGCCCACGAAAATATGAGTTGTGAGCTAGTTGGTACACTACGCAACACCGGTGCTATGTGTAATGCTAATTATACGAGACTATAAGATGTCACCTGGCGGAAAATTTGGTCTTCCCCTATCGGTTCCTTATTAAAGTGCCTGAACAGCAACTCAGTTTGGGGTCCAGGCATTCAGGGCATTAGGATTCAGGGACCTGAACCCCAAGCTCTCCATCCCAACTCCACGGCCAACACACAGTGAAGCTACGCAGAGGTTCCCAGTAAGTAGGTGAATTGGGTGTACACTATATGGTTAGTTCTAGGGTTACCCTAGATGTATGTATATATATATATATATACGTACTTACTATGTCCCCCTGACACTCCACGTGGGCCCTTCTATGCTCGGTGGACAGTCTTGCATGACCCGCCGTACTGCTTTACAAGAGGGAGTCTCCCTGACCCTCTTGCAAGGGTTCTAATGGGAACCCCAAACAGGGAACGTCAAAAATGTGGCAGGAATAAACTAGAAGATACCTACCTCCCGGTCAAGTCACCTTGGCCTCTGAGTTGGGAACTGCGGAAAGGGATAAACCGCAATGGTCCCTTGGTAAGGCTAATATTAACGGTGGCCCAAATGCAATTCAATTTCCACTAGGCATGAACACCTACCTCAAGTCAAAACTCTCGGCCAAGGTTCGAAGGTTACGAAGCCAAAACCACGGCATCGACCGGTCTCTCGATCCGTCATGACTACCACATCCGTGATCGCGCCTGAGACAGCCGTAGCTTCGGACCGTCATAAAGATATTGCACCATTTGGGATCCCCAATACGCTGTATACTTTTGATGGTATGAGGTATCTAGTCTAGGGTGTTGCAAGACTGGTTGGAGTACCACCCGCATATGCTGCCCATGAAAATTTTGCGAAGATGGACTCTCTCACACTAATAATGGCAACATTGGGGTGATGCAGGTGAATAAGGGGGAAGCAAATAACATCGGCAGTGAAGTGCCAGCTTGTGATGATGCAGTCTCTGGTGCTTTGCCAGGGATTAAGGAATACATCCCTTTCGTAGCCCCTATACAATCCCTAAACCCTAAACCGCAAGCACTATAACCCGCTGCCCATTCCCTACTCAACATGAAGCAGCTTTTGGCCTGTCAGGTCCTAGAGTTTAGGATTTAGGGGTTTGGGGTTCAGGGGTTCAGGGGTTTTGGGATTAGGGCTTAAGGTGTGCATCAGTGGACGCGCGCGCGGGGTGTGCGCCTTTTCTTTAGAGTTAGGGGCGCGCACCCTATCGCCCGCTTGCGCAGCTTAGTAGTCCCACTCCAGCCACCCAAACTATGCTCATTTAGGGTTTAGGGTTCCTACTCCCCAAACCCCCCCAGCAATGGGGGCTTCCTTGTTCTTTTTCTTCCCCACGTCTGTTGTTTGCTCCTCATCACGCCGCCGCAGAGAGCAGTCTCAAGTTTCGGAATTTGAGAGAATAGGCTTGACCAACGCGTAGGGGTAGCGGAGGCATCACGCCGCCGCAAAGAGCACTCTCACGCGTAGGGCTAGCGGAGGCCTTGGCCGGCCTCCACACGTGGATCTATGTACGAATCAAGCCTTCAAAGCCTTTACAGGTGCAACCACTTCAAAACTCCTGAAATCCCTCAGAGGCGCGGGAGAGTTCAAAAACCTTGGAAGCTTGGCAGGCTTTAGGCCTGGAAAGGCTGTAAAAGGTCTTGCAGGTCCCTGACCAGGCCTGGAATGAAAACTTTGAGGCTTTGTGGCTGGGAGGCCCTGGAAGGCCCTGAGGCCCTGAAACGCCTGGAGGCCCTCAGCTTCGATAGGGAGGCCTGTCCCAAGAGGCTTGAGCGCCAATGTATATGGTCAGCGGTGCTCTCGGCAGTCTAGGGGTTTAGGGTTTAGGCTGCTTGAAGCGCGGGCCGAAACATGGGCAGAAAGCCCTAAGAGTCTCCTCAGGTGACAAACACAAAACTCGGTGAATTCCATACAGCTTACCTGTGACCCCAATTATCTACAGTTTTATGGATTATACCTACTTATAAAGGGGTGATTCCTATTAAGCTGTAGGTAATTGGGGTTACAGCTTAATAATAGCCTATTATGCCAATGTTGACTAGTTTGTCGGATAAAGACTTTCTAAAGGACTCGACCCGAAAAGGTTCGGCTTTGTTTTGGCTATCCGAAAAGACTGTTCTCGTCTGAGAATCCAAGACAATTCATGCAACCTCCTGGGCATTTTGCCAAATGCCTTGCCCCCACGGCCTAAACTTGTCTTAGTTTTCGCGCAGATCAGGGCACAAAGTGGGCAATCCCATAGAAGCAAAGCACTTTGGAGCGTTGCTGAAATCATAAATTGAGTTGTTTACTAGGGTTACAGCCAGCAAACAATGAAAAATACCTAAAACCCACATTCTTCCCTCACGCACCCCAACCGAACCCCCATCAAACACAAAATTGAACGAACTGTGAGCCGCGCCGAACTTTCCAAAGTAGTCAGTAAGGCTCTCTTGCGGGCAATCCTTCCGCGGCTTGGAAGGCTTTGGAGGACGTAGGGTCGGAGGTCTGAGGGATGTCTAGTCAAGGGACGTAGCGGTAGAGGCTTGGGGGCTCTAGGATCGAGGGCAAGTGGGCGATTATAGGAGCCAGGAAATAGGAACATTAACATTCGCCAGGCCCTCACGGAGGGAAACGTAACAGAGATCATCCATCCGAGCTACATGTTGCAACTTCTTCGCCCTTGCCTCAACGCTTGAAGCGTATGATTTTACATGTGTCTGCTGTTTTGAAAGCGGGGGATCAGATTTAAACAGTCCTTGTCAAGAGGGGATGGGTAAGTAGGGATGCATCCGTGCCAGCCCTGGACCGGGCAAAAATCAGCATTTGTGCTGCTCATTGGGCTACACAAGAGAATTTAAAACGTCTTCAAGAGCCCCGTAGACAAATACGCAAACATGGGACGCATAGTGCAAGGTGTAGACAATTCGCCAGGACCTGCTTTTTCGGAATCGCTCTCTGGTTCCTGTAACCGCAGCCACCCAGACTTGTACGTTCGCGGGTAATCGTACGTTGGGGTCGGAGGCACCCCAGTCTTTCAATGTTTTATGGTTCCATTTTTTATCATGTACGAATATGCATCGCCCATTCTGCAGGAGTCTCTTGAATCACTCTCTTCAAATCATTCACAGAGACTGAGGAGATGCCTCTCCAATCCCTTTATATCTCTTCTGTCTCTGAGGGTAACCCTTCCTGAGAAACACTAGATTTACCAAAACCTAATCCCTCAACCTCCAGGAAACTGTGACCTTGAAACCAAGATGACCGGTTCCTGCGGCAGGCCGCCCACGAAGATCTTGGCCTTGTCTCCCATGGCTTCTAGAATCTAGGAGTCAACTGCAACACCGCGCGAGACCACGGACCAAGCGCACAAGACAGATAGGAGGCATAGGGACAACTGGTGGAACTACGGTGCCTTGAAGCGATGCGGAACATGGGAAGCTTTTTTGAGCCGCCGTCTGCAGCATGCATATCAGGATTGCTCCCCTAAACGTTTATAATCCTTCCCAAGTGGATGGAAGCGGATGGAAGGCTACTCTCAGCCTCTACGCTATGCGCGTCTAGAGGCCGACTGTGGCCTCAAAACAAAAGTGATCCCAATTTGCACCTGATATGCTGTATATCATATACACTACCCCGTACGTTCTTCTGCAAGCAATAGTCCAACCCAGAGCGCCAGGACGGAGCGAAGTGAAACTTAAATTTGCTGTACTTGAATCTACGGATAGTTTTGATGCCTACCTGTAAGAGGGCGTGGAGGAAAATGCTCATGCTTGGGGGCGGCGCAGTCCCTATCTCTAAGGATGGAACTCTTGACCCCTAGTATGAGCCCTTTATTCTGATGGCCTTATATATCGACTATACGCCCTATAAAATCACTAGCGCCACCCATGGCCAGGATGCGGGAAACAGGAAAGGGCTCATAATAGGGGCCAATGATAAGGACCTTACCCTGTTTTCCTGGCAGTGTTTTGGTTTTAGGATTTATTGGCCTGTCTACTTTCAGCAAACTTAACCAAACTAGAATTTACGGTAGAGTACCCTACAGCCATCATTCCTCTTGTGGGTTATACGACACAGTCTCCTCTAAATTCTACTACGCATGTTTCCTATGACAATGAACTACGAGGGCATCCATATCCCAGCTATGCAACGAGTAGCTCCGTCTAAGTTGCAAGACATGTGGCCCTGACGCAGTAGCCTGAGATGCCGATATCTTACGTCCAGAAGTTACTTCTAGTTTGTAGGGCGCGGAGGGCTCCATGAAAAGTGCACCCCCTTATTGTAGGGAGACCCAAAGAGAGACGCCAGATTTCTGGAAACCTCCGTATAGTAGTATGTGGTTCTCACCTGTACGACCAGTAACTTAATTCAGGGACCCAGAAGTAGGTTTGCTGCTGTGGAAGTAATGTAATGTATCATGTCCGACTTGGGGTTTAGTACTTCCGGTTTTCGGTTTAGGCACCGAGCGTATTAGGGCAACATAATACAGAAACCCCAAAGGGAGCCCAATCAGCAACTGCAATAATCCAAAATTGCTCAATTCTTGGCTTAACATTCTCAAGCCCTAATCCCAAACCCTATCAAAACCCTACACCCTGCCAACCCAACCAGCCACGGTCCTGATACCCAGCTGGAACCCTAGCAGCGCTTTTTTTGAATTAATCCTTGCCTTAAGCAATCGCCCACAAGCCGGCCAATTCCCGCACGGTGACACGATCTTTAGCCCTCCCCCACGCTGACATGAGCTAATGTCTAAACTCCTAGCATCCCCCTTAATATCCCCTATGGTAGTCCCCTAGATAATCCCCTATATAACCCCCCTTTAAGGAGTTTAGACTATAGCTCACATGGACTTCCATAGACCGGCCCATAAAGATTGGCTTCAGGGTTTAGGGTTCAGAGTTTATGCTCTTAGTCTTGGCGAGGGTAGCCTTCAACCGCCTAAACCGTGGGCCCTGTTTCAAGCTCCCATGCGCAACAGGCCCTCCCTACCACTTGCAAAACAAGAAACCCTTTTATAGAAGTAAAGTAGACCTGCTTCATAAGAACCCAAGGGATGCGTGAGGATTACCAGGGAATGTGATTCTGGAGGTTTGCACTGGGGACTAGCAGGAGTTTTTGACACGTCAGCCAATTGACTTTTATCCCGCACAAAGAGAAGTCTACAACCAACTCCTAGGCAAATCGTTTGAGATTCAGGTAAGCCCTTGATTGTTCGTGCTCCGATGCGGTTTTGGCCTCAGCAAAACAACTGCGTTGGGTGCCATGCCGGATCCGCCAACCCCATGTTAGAGCTGCCTGAAGGAATGAAGGGCGCAGTAGAGGAAAACACATAGAACCTCATCATAATCACCTCACCCCATTACGCAGCTACACGTGCAAAACTGAGGTGCTTAGGGAAATGGTTGCAACTCAGGAAGCGCCCCAAAGATAGTTTGGAAATTAAATTGCCGCAGGGTGTCAGGAAAGGCCCTACCTTATCAGATAAAAGGGCGCTTCAGAGACGGGTCCAAGGAACACACCGTCAGCAAGAGTCTCTTCGGAGTAGAGTGCTTCTCTGTAGGGTCTGAGGCTTGGGTATTTGTGTGGTTCCGGCTGATAGTTGGGTCCCTATGAAGGCTTTGGTCTTCAACTGCATGATGGCTATGTCCAAAAAGAACGGCTCAACATATGCACTATGCACACCCCCAGCAATCATCCTTGTCATAGGAACCGCAGAAGCACAGCCCTTGCTCTTGAAAACTCCCAGACAGAACTAACATTTGGAAGTTTCCCTAAATTACTGTTCCCAAAATGGGGGAAATGTATATAGGGCCCTGTATTATAATAGGAGCCCAAATATAGGACCCCGTATTGACAGTAATTTAGGACAATCCCCATTTGTAGAGCTCTGCAGCTTGTCCATCTCCTATCCAGAGCTCCGATCGCGGCCCACAACACGTGAGACAAATAGAACAACGCCACGGAGTGGAGTAGGAAATCTCCCCAGGGCTCGAAGTCCCCACTTCTAAAACATGAGAAGAGCAGTCATGAACAAAATGCTGGTAGCAAATAACAAGAATGAGTTGGTACTCTGTAGGCAATAAATAGTACACGCCTTGCGCATTTGGCCGCCCTGAGGTCACATGCAATGATCACTCATGAAAGAGACATCGGTTAGCTGACCCCGGAATCCTTTTCTGAGATCTGAATTAGGGGTTAGGCTTTAGGGTCCATTGATGGGTTTGAAGTACTAAGAAGAGGGCATACAAGAAGGTTGGTAGTTGGGGTTGCAGGTAGGCGTTAGGATTTAGGGTCGAGGGTGAAAGGCTTGACGATGGACAGGTCAAGTCATTCCACGGGAGCTAGTAGAGAGTGAGGACCCAAAGCTCGCGCAAAATACAAATATAAAATCGCTTCGGCATTATGTGTTTTACGCTAAAGGGTCCCATTAAAATTTCAGTGGCAGCTATCTAAAACCCTAAACCCTAAACCGATTAGCTAATTGGGGACTAGGCTGAGATAGGTGAGGGCTTCCATAAAGTAGGATCCCCCAACATACCCTCGAATATGAGTGGGGCTTCTCCAAACATCAGGAGTCCCTTTCTGGGGGGGTTCCTAGAAGAAGGACTGCTCCTCAACCCTAAACGTTAAGTTTCTGGTGTTCTATGTTGGGATCCCCAAGTTCGTGGAAACTACCAAATTTAAACCCTAAAGCCTAAACTCTAGACATCTTTCAACCCTAAACCCCCAACCCAAAGCTGCAAACCTAATCCCTGCCGTAGAGATCCTCCCAAAGCAGGAACTCCATTCTGGTTTGAAAGAGATGGGAATTCAACGAGAATGAGGAATAGGGTTTAGAAACTCCCTGAGGGAGGCCCATCAAACCTTACTTTTTATCATATATTTCGCATATGATCGATGTACATGGGTTCCTGGTAGGGAAGATGATCAAGGACTATGGTGATCTACGAAATGGGATCCCTATGTCCAGCCTGAATGGTGCCTTGGCAAGGCTGCCATTGACTGTAGCTCATATGATGCATATCAAAACTACATAACAAAAAACTTGATGGGCCAATCTCCATGACTTCGCAGCGCATCATGATGCATCATGGAAACAGTGACCCCGCAGAACGACATGAATCGCTCAAAGGCTTGCGGCAAAAGAAGCTCAGCTCTCTGTTTTGATGTTTAACCGTTAGACAGGTAGTTACTTCTCAACAACAGTTGAGTCACTTCATATACATATCCCCCAGTCGACTCAAGCAAGTTGTTATCAGGATGCAAAGTGGGACCACAATTGACATGTTTTCCAAAACAACAAGAGGATACTCCTACATACTTGTCTTATGTCGATTATATCTTTGCACAGCCCCCGCCCCCCCCTCCCTCTGGGTCACAGATGTCCCAGACATCAGCCATGGCTTTCCTTTTGGCTCTATTCCAAGTCCAGGAAGTCGTGTTCAGGGCAGGAGGTGTCTTTTAAGCAAGGGTCCGCAGCTTATACCGGGGACACTTGACTAAGATCTCTGAGCAGAAAATAAAATTAGAATCTTGTCGTTTTATACCTAAAGGGCCAGGGCTAACTTTACAGGAAAGGCTCGACATTGTGGATAGGGTAGTTGTGGGATTAGGGTTGAGGGTTGGAATCTAGGCCTTGAGGCTTGAACGATGAGGTGAAGGGCTTTTGTGTCGTCACGATCTATGCCTCAGTTCAAATTTCAAGAACATTCGCGGTCCAGGAATAGCTCCCCGTTTGAAGAGCGGCAGACTTTGTAGGGCCCATGCTGGGCTATAGGGATGCTAAGCCGCTAAGCCCTGTATTGGGTCGGGGTTGCTGTTAAGGAGCTTGAAATAAGTTACATAAAACAAGGAAACCTTAAGATTTACTATATACACTTATTCTGGCAACTTAAGTTCTGGAGCAGCAACCCGTACAATCCTAAACAGCACAAAGTGTGCCTCAAAGGTCCTGCAGATGGTCTGGGTGGGTCGGGTAGCTATATAGACAGATCGGAGCATGACATTTTTTTTTGGGGGGGAAGGGGGGGGTGTATACAGCCTGTAACACCAATTACCTACAGCTTTACGGGTTCTACCTACGTCCTGTTTACTCGGTCATTGCCGCAAAGCTCCAAGTAATTGGGACTACAGGAGGCAGTGCGTCCTCTTGACGAAAACCCACTTGCGTCGTCCAGCCTTTGAAAATTCAAATCTCTCCGGAGTGCAAGATATTGAGGCTGAGCGCTGCCCTTCCCCGTAACAGTCAGGGTTTTGGGGTAGAAGCTATAGGATTAAGGGACCGTTTCCAGTAGGGTTAACAGCTTT